TTTAGTTTTAGTGGACAGTGGTGTTACCAGAACTTTGAACTTGTAGTGTACCAGACACTCCAAGTAAATCCACCATTCAAGACAGTTCATAGTGCCTTTCCTCTAGCTAACAGAGATTGGTGATGTTATTGGTACTGCTTTACACAGAAAAAAAGATGTTATTCATTGTTCTTGATCTTACTTTAAGCATTGATATTTTAGGTATGGACTCGTTGCAGAGGTTGCCAACCAGCATGACACGATTCAGATGACTTGCAGTCTTGAAGTACAAAATCATTCAATACTGAACTTTCATAGCCCAGAAATATTGGAGAATACAAGTACATGTAGAAGGTGAAGTCACAGTTATAGTGTTGTATAAAGTCGGTCTAACGCATTAATAAAACAGGCACATGAAACACATTATTTTATGTCCATAAATCAAGCTGCACATACTTATACAGTTATCACTCTGAATACCAGATCTTGTCCATGTTAGTTTGCAACCATGGACAGACTGCTATTCAGCTTCCAAGTGAAATGGTTACTAGCATAGTTGGCAAGGCATGTGTTTAAAGCTAATTGTATTACAAATGTTTTCTACAGAAGCACGACGTGTGATAAATGCACAGCTAACAGAACATATGACAATTTAAACTTACAGTAGTGTACGTACTCAATAAGTTGGTGGAACGTTGCCAACGTCTTTGTCTAGCCATCATTATATACATGGAGGTGGCAAGCACCTGTTAAAACAACCACTCTGAAGGCTTTCTTTGAGCATCCTAGATATAGCCACAACTGAAATAGAGTAGTCACTGTAGACAGGTAATGCAATGACTAAACAGTGCTTGGTCATCTCCAGTAACAGCTGTAAACAAGTAAGAGGATATTCCAAGGTTTTGTTTGAACTTTTACTGGGTGAAGGATTTCTTTTATGCTATACAGAAAATGTCTCTAGATGGTTTGAAACAGCTTGTTGGTTCAACATATTAAACCTAGTATGTGGCTACTAGCAAGTAGAACTAGACAATGAAAGCAGGTCTACATCTGCTTTTAGTACTTGATATGGTTTGCATGAATTTAATGCAATGTCATTTGACCTGTGTAATATATCTGTGACTTTCGGAGCTTATATTTCGAGGTTCGAAATAACATCTGGCTGCACATTTTAGTCTATTGCTAAGAGTCTGTGAATGGTAATTCAGCAGATGAATATGGAAGCTTGTATTTGAAGTCAGAATAATGTTGTTATGCATATATATATATACACATACATATGGAGTTTCTTTATCATGTGATAGGCAAGGAGACAAACTGTGCATTGATCCTGTGAAAACTACAGTTGTTATGGACTGTCTCAATCTGTTATCAAAAGTCCTCAGTATTCTAGGTTTTGTGACCAATTTCTCCATGATAGCCAAATCATTGTCTGCTCTGACTAAAACTAATTTACATTTTAATTGGAATGAAGATTGTAAATAAGCACTTCAGTCATTAAAATGTGATTTGGTTAAGGCTCTAGTTTTGAATCATCCTAGAAAAGGTTGTCTATTTATCTTAGATACAGATACCAGTGAAGGTGAAATCAGGAAAGTACTGTCACAGCTGCAGGATGGTGTGGAGCATGCAAATGCATATGTTTATGGCTCATGAAATCTGATACTGGACCACTAAAAAACTGTTTGCAGTTGAATATTTTCTCAAATACTATCAACTTGTTTAATATGAGCTCACTGAAATGGATGAGGGCGTTTAAAAGCCTGGAAAGTATAATTGTACATAGAATTATGATGTTACAACTATGTCGTACAAAATCATTTAGAACAGCAATACATTAATGCATATGGTGAAATCTTGTTGGTTGGTTTGTTGAATTCAGTCCAGAAAACCACTACAGCTGCTGCATTAATTAATAAAATAATCAGTGATGATTTCTCTTGTGGATGAAAGAGAACTGGTGTCTAGCTTGAGCACTATATTATGCAATAAGATTGGACAAGCAATTATGAATCATGCAAGTGTAATACCCAATCTATGATGAAGTTATTAGTCCCAAGTGCCTCGAGATAGAAAAAACCTTCAGACTTTGCAATGAAAGAACTAAAGCTCACCAAAGAGTGTTTTCATGTTGGAGCATTGAAAGATAGTATAATTATTGTTTTGTGTGTACTTATCAGAAAAAAAGAAACTGCTACCCTAAGGAAAATTTCATCAAAGAATTGTTAGTTCCCTATTGCAGAGAGCAATAATAACTAGAATCAATATGTATGGATCATTACTGGTTATTTAACCAAGTAGTCGAAAGCTTATCTACTGTGTGATACTTCAGTACAGTACATTACTAACAGCACAATTTGAAACACCTGAAGTCTGCACAGGTCAAGAATCCAACTTCAACAGCCAATTTGTTTTTGGCAGAGTTGTGCCAAGTGAGCCATTGAAGGGATTGATGAGTTAACAAGGGTGAGAGCACTGAGTTATACTATATCATTCGGGCTGATGAAGAGGAAGATGTCACAAGTATTAATATGGCTGTTTACAACGATTCAGAGAAGAATGAGTCAAGTATATGGTAGTCTAACAGTTCTGGAGTTTGGCCACAGCATAAACATTGGGCATTGATCATGGCTGAGATTAAAACTGATAAGCAGTTCATATGGCAACATGGATACAGCAGTTAATATAGCTTTAAAATTCAAATACATAATGTAGTAGTTCACCTCACTTTCTGAGCCATTTAACTTTTACGTTAACTTAAAAGATATCTTGTGTTAGACACTAAATAGCAGCTGTCAAGATAGTTGTACAACAAAAGAGTAGTAGTAACACTCATGATTTAAACTGGAATCACACAATGATTCTGCACAGCAAGTCGTCTCAGATCCCCCAAGTCACATTATTTACAAGGGTAGTAGTAGTTCAGCAGCTACACAGTTGCAAGGTCCAAAAGCCAAATGGGAATCATGATCTTAACACTCTTAATTCACTGAGTTCATAGTAAAATATCTATAGTACAATACTGTGTATCAGACAGTTACAGATGTTAAGATGGATTTACAATCACAGGTTATAGCCACGTATGGCTGAAAAAAACCTGAAAGACAAAAGGTTATAGCTTTCCTTATGATCCAAGCCATAAAGTAGATTTATGCAGTGACTCTATGGTTCAAATCACCTGAAATATGCTTGGTCACTGTAGCTAGGAAAGCTACAGAATACTGACAGTCATTGTGAATGTTGATGATTGCTAGAACTCTATACAACAGATTGAAAGGACATTGCAATTCTTACTTTTCAAGCACTAATGTGGAATCTTATGGAGAACATAGGCAAATGTTTACATGAAAAAAAATCGTGTTTTTTTGTATATATATATGTTGAACTTATTGTTGCAGTCTTGTGCACAGCCACAATTATGGCTCTGAAGTGAGGGCATCCAGTTCTTTAAACAGCACAAAATAAAACTTGGATATTGCAAACAATGAGGTTCTAAAATGTGAAGTTCTGTTCAAAATAAAAGTTGTTTCAATCTTGTGTATCTAGAAAGATAAATTTGTACTAAAAATTTTACAAAATTGTAATTTACAAACATTTATTTACTATTCTTTAAACAAATAAACTATAATATGGATTAAAGTTTAAAACATAAGCATATAAAATTACAAAGATATGTATCTATCAAATAGCAACAAATGGGAATAAAATATTTCAAAAATAATTATGTATATTAAAAAATTATTTTCTTATAAAAATGCATCGCTTCTACCATTTCATGATTTTATTTGATAGTGAAATAAATATATAATCATGTAAATATTTTGAATAGCTGAGTTTTCGGAGTAGCATTCACAACCATTACCTTTCTAAGAACTTTCATATGTCAGTCCTCCATAGAAGTAAAAAAAACTACCAAAAAATAGGAGGGAGCTAACTATGACATATACACCAAATCATCATCCCAAAACAGTAAAATCTAGGTTGTAGTTTTATGAATGAACTACAATATCATCGTTAACTGATTTATTGAGGTAATAAATTTTAGACTGGTTTATTTAGGTATAAATCACACTAATATAGAATTATGTCTATAGTTAACGAGGTATTGACCATAATGTAGACTGTATGACTGATTATTTGATGTATCAAAAATAGGACTGGTTTATTTCGTAACACTGATGTATCACTGACTTATTTAGGCAATGAATTCGATAACGGCTTAAGTATGACTACAACCCTAACGTGGTCTATGTAACCAATTTATTGAAGTACTGAATTTGATAATGCTTTAAGTATGATCAGAACATTAATGTATACTATATCCTCAGTTTGCTTAAGTAGCTTGTGTGAATTGATTTATTGAGGTACTGGCCACAACACTGTTGTTGACTATATAGTTAACCGAGATATTGAACACAATACTATATGATTCACCGCGGTATTGATGCCAACACTAATGTTGACTACATGATCTACTGAGTTACTGATTCTAAAACTAATGTTGAGTTATATAAGTACTGAGCTTGAGACTGATTTACTTAGCCCTAAACACATGATTACACTATACATCATTGTCAGTATAATTCAATAAACATCAAAACACAATGATAAACTTCACTAAGGGTTTCTTGTGGGTTTACCAATAATTTTATTCTTTTTTCTTACACTATAAAAAAAAAAGAATATCTCACTGAACTATATATATATATATATACCAATACTGCATACTGAAAGGAAATTCACAACAAAATTTTAGAATTATAACTAATAAGAATTATTAAATAATATACAATTCTACAACATAAAAGTTAATAAGAGTTTGTACATTATATCTCAAAGAACAAGTACAAGTTTTTGCCAAATAAGAGGTCAATTGGTGTCATCTACTGTCCAGTATGCAATTCCAGAATGAAAAGATTTTCTATCCAAGATGCCGTGTTTTGTCATCTAGCTAACACTACTCTAAAAAGATCTTGCTGTTCGGCCCAACATTTACTGAACCAGAAAATCACTTCTTTTTCTCTATTATTAAAAGATATGAAGCAAAATATCTTTATTTTATCCAACTTGCAACATACTTTCTCCGATATATTTTTCCTGATACAGTCACTACCAGCTAAACACCGTGCAGGATACAATCCTGTGACACCCACTGTGACAAGCCATTAAATGTAGTCAAAACAAAATGTCTTATGCTACATATGCAATGTTTCATATTGTCATAAAAAAAAAAGAGATGCCTAGTTGAACATCTAATGTTGAATGAACACTGTTTGAATTCTCTGCTTCTCAATATCCCTGAGTGTTGAGTTAATACAATCCTAGTTTATTTGTTTAATGATCTTAGTTCTTCTCCTCAAAAAAAATACCCCAATAAAGGATTGTTTTTGCTTCTAGAAGGTAGTAAATGTAAACTCTATGTCCTCAAAGAGACTTTTTCAGCGGTTCTTTTCATGAGATTAATTGCCCTCAAACACTTGTGAAGCTATTCAGAAATTCACATTCTAGATTTAAATAATTCAGTGTTTCAAATGCTTATTACTACAACATTAATAAGATACTACTGCATCCACCAGTAGCTGTGTCATGTTAACTAACATATTTCTAACTGTATTCTGCTACATCATTTGAATATCTAACTTTAAAAACTTTGCATATAAGTGAGACATGAAACTCTGGCTGTTAAGATATAAGGCTTTTAAAGTTAAAGCAATTTTGGTTTGTAGTGAACTTTTTACTTGCAAAATGTATCACACCTGCAAACTATTCAAGTGTTTTGTTAGTACCATCTATTAAATACCATAACATTACAGCTGCAAAAGGATGCTACGGACAGATTTCATGTTAATGAAATATAATAAACAAAAGTTGTTTTGGTGAGACTAAAACCACAAAGTTGATATAACAATATAACCTCAAAGTTCATATTACAGTATATTCCTAAAGCTTACCTTAGAGCATAACCATAAATTCATATTATCTCCATTAAATTTCCTCAAGTCAATTAATCACAAAAATATAAAAATATAATACGATCAAATTATAGAACACTATCAGCAGTACAAACAAAAAATAATATTTTGATATTTCTGAATAATGAGCTATTTCTGCTATTATCATTAATTACAAAAGGATTTCTTACTAGACTAATCAAGGAAACATTTTAAAACTCAAATATAATGCATAGAAATATTTATTATATTGGTTTGTTAATATAAAGAAACATGTTCTTAGTAAACTAAAATAAGTGATAATACAACATATTTGTTTAAATAATAATAAATAACTGAATATTTAGTTTGCTTCATTAACTAGTTTTGAAGCATCTTTCTTCTTCTTCTGAGTTACTACCCTGTTATTAGTGAATGTTTATGACCTGATGCTAACAGTGACAAGAACATTGGTCTTGTAACAAAACTCTCTGCAAGTGTGGTAATTTATAACAATACTAAGCAAGTGTTTGAAATCAAAATATACCCTATAATCCTTGTGTGTTTAAAAAACAATTTTAACAAAAATAACACTAATTCTACCATAACTTTTGAAACACATCATTATGAGTTACATATCTCACTGTATATAGACAAAAACCCAATCATGTATTCATATAAATGAATTATTATGACATCAAAAAGATGAAGATGGTGTGTGTCTTTGATAAATCTTTTAAGAAGTTTGTGTTATATATATACACACACACACATATATATATATACTGAACACATTCCCTGTGTAACTAACAATATTGTAGCCAACTAAAAACAAATACTTTGTATCAACAGTTTGTTAGTGTGTGTAAGAAAAGTTTTTTTTTCAGTATGCAATCATGTAAAAAACAACCTTTAAGCAACGTTATGTGTATGAAAGAAAAACTTATGTAAATGTGTTTTTAATGCGTGAGCCACAGAGTTTCTTCAAAAGTACTATGACTGCATAAATCTAAAGACATTGTATGACAACTAGTTACTGTACTTGAAGTTAGCATCAAGCTTCCTCCACAATAAAACTCCAAATTTACCAATCTCCTGCATGTCTGTTAAACACAACAAGTTTTGGTGCTTCCATCAAGTGTACCTCTCCAATACAATTATAGCAGCCCTAACTGTTTGAAGGAGTTTCTATTACATAAAAAAAGTGAATATGGCACACAATTTAAAAGCATTTCTGACTGTTGAATGAAACAACATATGTTAATGAATATATTAGTAAACCTACAAAAAAAAGCACTACTTTAGAACATGTCAAGGATGCAAGACTACTCTGAAGTATAATAGCTTGGTCCTAGGCAGGTGAAACGTCAATCAAGAGTTAGAAGATATGCTTCCATTTTGATCAGACAACTGGGAATCCAACGTTTTGATGGTGTTAAGGATGTCTGCCCGCTGCTGAGGAGTCATATGTTGAATGATGTGTACAGCAGAGTCCATGGCAACCTCAGGATATTCATGGATGAGGCTAAAACAAAATAGTTATTAAAAAAACAACTAAACAAAGTAAAGCACCACCAATGTTTTAGTATATTTACCCATTTCACACTGGAGGAAAGTTACTGATCTTCTAATTCTTTTCCTTCTTACAGTAGAAATATTTATTCAAATTTGTTTTCAATAAATAAATTTTTTTTTCATTTCTGTGTTTTGGTTGAGTACAATAAACCTTACAACATATTCAACATAAAAGACTTTGTATCATCCAAATAGTTCGCTGTCACTTCACATACTAAATCTAAACTTCCTGATGTTCTACCATAAAAAAATGCTTCAAACAGATAAGGAGTCTAAAGAACGTTATATAAAAACAAATATTCCTATATGCATGGTTTGTTTGTAAATATTGTATTAGGAACCTTTGTTCATTTCTATGAGAGCTCTAGGTATTTGAAAAACTATAGATTACTGCTTCAACTTTATATACTATTCACTCCAATTGTTTGTAACTATTTCCTCTAGCTATTTTCAAATATGAGCTTCATTAGTAATTGTTCAGACAACATCATTAAAGGGTAATAATGAATAGCTGTAGTAATAAAACCACTGACAGAAAAGGAAAATGACTTTGACGACAAGACATGAATATAGGCTTATTATTGTAATTTAGAACTAAAGTTTTGGAATATTCCTGGAGAAAATTACCATTTTAAGCCTTGTTTATGGAAGATTATAACCAAAATTTTTAACTTACAGATATTAACCTCAGAATAATTTTATTTATTTACTTTTCATTACAATCTGGAGTAGGTAATTCACAACATTTTTACCGAAATTAGTTCAGATTTCATATTTTTAGGTTTCCAGGCTTTTCAATATTGTAGATACATCTGGGCTTAAAGTGGCAACGTTAAGCTTAGCAATGCAGACACAAATGTCCTTATTTTTTATTCCTTCCTGAATTTAAAGCTCACTTTAGCAAATAGACATACTAAACAACTGTTAACTTTTTAATGTATAATGTAATATATATTGTTTAACATAGCATAAGAATTAGAAAAGACAGAAATTCTAGCCTAGTATATCTCCCTTGCTATTTACATTGAATTAAATGGGGCATTATTACTAGAAGAACCTTGAGAAGATTACAGAAGGGATAAGGGATTGTGCTAATGTCTGTGTCAAACTCCTCAAGTGTATAACAACAGTAGAAATAATAGTATTAGTCATTATATTTATGCTGAGCACTTGGTGTTAAAAAAATACACAATAATAAATAATGATAAAATAAAAAGTGGTTGCTTCCTGCCAGTTGCCTCTCCATTGTGTGTGGTATCACATCCTAGACTGGATTGTGAACTAACATGTGATGCAACAGGACTTCATAATTGAAGGAGGAGAGCCTGTGCTTGGGACAGTGTCAAACCCCTCTAGTGTACATCAAATCAATCAATCCAGAAATTGTTTTAATAAAATTAGAATTGTATTTCTTTTATTTAAATGTTAAAATTTGATATGCAGGTATGTGTTCAAAGGCTGAAAAGTTATACAACAATCAAAAGTGGGTTAAGAATATTATAAAAAAATGCAAGCGTCAACTGTCAACGTGAATTCTTACCTTCGAATCTGGCAAATGACAGCATCCCTTTTCAAACAGTGAATGTTATCCATGACTGCTGAATGCCCTTTGGCTGAGTCAAGCTGGGAGGCTAACCATTCAACAACCGCTTTGTTATCATCCCACAAAAATTGCTGTAAGAATAAAAACTGAAAGTCATACACTAGCTAAATGTTCAATATGAGTTGATTATTTTGAAATTATGTGGAATGGCAAACCAAGCAACTGGCTCTATGATGAAATGGAACTATTATTTATAATTAAATAAGAATCTACAAAAAAAACAACAACTAAAAAACATTGATCATGATGGTACTTAACAGCATAACTGTGTACATTTGAAATAAAATCACAAACTTCAGCTAACGTCTATAAGATACGGTTCTCCACAGCATCAACATTTTTAAAAGGACTGAAGCCTCATTATGACACATTTATACAACTATGCATTCACCTATAAAGTACTAATTTTCTGCAGGACAGATAAACATTCTCAAGATTTTATTAAACTATAAACTATTTCTAAACTTAACAATGCATATGAATAACAGTGAAAAATCAAAATGAGATAATAAAAACTTAATTTCTCTCTTGCTCTCTGTTATGACAAGCATCATTATTACTAATGGAATTTAGTAATCCGAATCTGTAAGGACACTAGTTTGTGTATAAACTTTCAAACAATTATTCAATTTAAAAAAAGTCTACTAAAACTCTCAAAGAGTTTATACAATTTAAATTCATAATTTATGAAAAGTTATAACTCGTGCGTTATCAGACATTCAAAGTACCGAGTTTTAAACAACCCACTTATAGGGAAACTAACTTCTGAATATATGAAACTCTCTGTAGTTTCATAAGTTAAAGAGCTATAGTTAATATTTACATTCACTTGTCCATGCTCCTCAACAAACCACCTCCTAAACATAGCCTCAATTTTTCCATCCCCAAGGCTGGGCTTAACTTTCAAAATGTCTGCCTTTAAACGTCCTTGAAGAAGCAATCTTCTCAGTCTCCAGTAGAGAATGGTTCGAGACTTGTTCCATGGAACTATGTCCTACAAATAATAATTTGTAATCATATAGAAATATGAGATGCTATCCTGTTTCAAACATGTACCTTATCCTTAAAAAGATCATTAAGAACTCTCACTAAGTCTAGATTTATTGTTCTGTAATTTTTTGCTATATTTTTAAATAACTATCATAATATTTTAGCTTAAACAATTGTAAGTATATTCTTCATCATGAGAACATGTTTAGCATCTAGGTACGATAGCGAAATAAGCTGTCAGCATGTTGATGTCTTACAGAAAATATTGAAAAATAAATATTATAGCTGAATTTCATATCTACTGCTACTCCAACTAAAATTGGATATATACTGATATAAAGAAAGATGAAACTATTTTCCCTCTTTTCACTCACGTTCCTAAAAAATTAATCTTGATGAAATCTACAATAATCGTATACCTGAATAACCCCTTTTTCCTGCATGCGTACTGGAGTATCATGAAGATCAGCAAATGTAAGTGCCACCTGATGGTACATAGGGAGCAGTTGCTGCTCTCTGTGACGAAGCTGTTGTTCCAGTGAGGTTTTCTCTTCTGGAGAGATATCTGGAGAGCTAAGTTGTGCCATCAATTTTTTGCAGGTGTTGTCAATACGATGTATTGTTTTCAGTAAGTCTTTTTTTCTGTAGCGGATTTCTACTGTTCCTTTTGGTTCCAGAACTCCACCCCTAGTTAATATGTAGAATGAAAATTCTTAACATAAAGGTGATCTGTTCTACGATTAATGTTGAAGTTTTGTGGCAAAAAAACTAACTGAATATAGTCGTAAATGTTAAAGTCTACATATAATATGTGACATCTACAAACATGTTAAAATTTTATATCTCAGGCTTTAAACTACTCTCTGTCTGTACAGCTTGCAGGTAGTTTTTTTTTTTTAAAGTATCAAACCGTGTCGTTTATGTAACATTGCTACCACATTTCTGTATAAAAATGAAGAACTGAACAGAAACTCAACTTCCAAACAGAATAACACAATTTCTATAAAAAACATTTACACAAGATTTTCATCAAAAATACAGTTTAAGACAACTTTTCAATTTTTCTAATTTAAAAATAAAGATCCTTTCCAACACACCTGCTAAATATAAAGTGGTCAGGGAAAGAGTGTTAAACAAAAATATTACCTATGAGGGTTTTCCGTCCATTTTACTTCACCACATAATAATCTTAATTAATTTAGGTATGTGTATAATGTTATGACATTTCGTCGAATTCATTATTCAGTATCATACAGTAGACCAAATGTTAAATGTTACCATTATAAGAGGCCTAATGGTATTTCTTTGGTTTACTGATCCTAGTTATGCTGATGAGCCGTGAATACGCAAAACTGCAGTCCACAGCCAATCGAAGAATGCATTAGACCTCTACATCACAGATTCTCTTTTCAATTTCACCTCTGGTGAAAAAGAAATCATTAACATGTATATACAAAAATCTTACCTGCTTTGTGGATCAGCATACATTTCCATATGCTGTTCATTAATCGTTGCATCTAACACCACCCAAGCTCCACCTCTGAGTTCAGCAAATGGCGGAATGTATACCAAGATTGGTTGATTATATTCTCGTAGAGCATCTACAATGTAAGCTCCAAACTTAACTACCATATCATACATGTCTGTAGTAAAAAGAAGAAAATATTTTATTGTAATTTATTTCTATGTAAAACAGTATAACGTGTTTCTAAAGCAAGTCTACACTATATACATCCAAACATTTATGGAATCCTTCTTTTCACAAAAGTTTTACAGTAGTCTTCTCTACTTCTTCAGAAAAAAAACCTTTAAAATCAACTGATAATTCTAAAGAATTGTTGCCACATCAACACAAAACTAACTGATAAAACTTTATCTGACTTTTTAAAAAACACAAATATTAACTCTTTGTAGCCGGGCACTATTTACTGTGCATATTACGAGGTTTTAGTGACTTGTATTCAAAACATAATTAAACTACTTTTTGTTTACGTTATACCAATTAGTATAGCATAAAATCGTAGCTAATAATTCATATTTTAACAGTATACAAGTTTTAAGTTCTTAATTTCATATGGCAATATTGTAAAAAATCATGAATTTCCCCTAGTGTGAGAAATGTAACATATTTTCTCTAGGCATCCCCTCTTCTC